GTGATGATGATGATTTTTTTTTTAGACTATTCTTTAACAGAAATGCATTTCTCATAACACAATCACATTTATGACAGTTCTGGAAACTAAGAGCAAGGCCCAGCAGATGGTATGTGTAATGAGGACCTTTACCTGGTTTGCAGAGATGATCAAAGGCCAAGACAGTTCTCTGGAATCTTTTGTTTAAGGAGATTAATTCCATTTACAAACCCTCATGTGTACCTCTCAAAGTCAAACTTTCTAAAATCATGATACCAGGGGTTAGAATTTCCAAGTATGAATTTTGAGCAACACAAACATTCAGTTCATAGCAATGGTGATGACTCCAATGAAGGCTGTGGTGGTAATAAGAGTGCTTGCAGAGATACCGAAGGCACCAGCAAAGACATGACAGAAAATGGGTTAAGAATTTTTTTAAACTGCCATTTTTATCTTGCATTTAGGTCCTATGAATTTCCTTCCTTTACCTCTGTCTCTTATTCCTCCACCAACACATCTGAAGCCACAGCAGCCAGGCTGGAAGATTCTAGATGCTAGTGGTAAGAGAGCTGCAGTGGGGATGAGGCAGGAAACTGGTCAGTAGCTGGCTCCATTTTCCCATGGTACTTCATCATCTCATGCCCACCCAGGAAGCTTCCTGGGGCCCACAGGAGCATCCAAGGGGCTGACTAACAGGATCCAGTTTTTACATAAGTTTGTTGTTGTTGTTGTTTGGGGGAGGGGCAGTCGTGGAGCTTGAACTCTGGGCTTGGGCACTGTTCCTGTGCTCTTCAGCTCAAGGTTAGTGCTCTACCACTTTGAGCCACAGAACCACTTCCAATTTTCTGGAGATAAGAGTCTCACAGACTCTCCTGCCCGGATTGGCTTTGAACCATGATCCTCAGATGTCAGCCTCCTGAGTAGCTAGGATTACAGGCATGGGCCGCAAGCGCCCGGTTTACAGAAGTTTTGTTTTGTTTTTTGTTTTGTTTTGTTTTTGTCATCATGGAGCTTGAACTCTGAGCCTGGCTGTTCCTCAGCTCTTCAGCTATAGTGATCTACCACTTGAGCCACAGCACCACTTCCAGTTTTCTGAGTGGTTAATTGGAGATAAGAGTATCAAGATCTTTCCTGCCTGGGCAGGCTTGGAACTGTAATCCCCAGATCTCAGCCTCCTGAGTAGCTAGGATTATAGGCGTGAGCCACCCACCAGTGCCCAGCTTACAGAAGTATTTTTAACTTTAACAAGAACTACAGAATATTATCTGTCTCTCTCCTCTTAGTGGCTACAAGGTATGAAGCTCTTGACGGTCAAGTCAAGAGCCCCCTCACTTCTAGGCATAGGCTTACCTCATAATGAGGTTCTCCTAAAAGCAAACACACCCTCATACACACTCGTGTGTGTGTGTGTGTGTGTGTGTGTGTGCGTGCGCGCGCGCGCGTGTGCGTGCACACACACACATTCACAGATGTACACGCACACATAAATTCAGACTTAAGCCCTCAAAGAAGATAACATTCAAGCTGCTTGGCTGGGACACAAAGCTCCTCCCAGCCTGACCCAGATTAATCCCCAGGCCTTCATTTCCTTTCTGAATCTCAATCTCTTGGGTCTCCTGGGTATTTGAGTAACAGTAACAGGTGTAGAACAGTGATCCCTTTCATCAACTTCACAGGTTGCTCCTTTCCCTCCCTGAGACCCCCACTGCCCATAGTCTATCCTGTCTTCCTTTGATCTGTTTCCCACTCAGCTTTCAGGATTCTAGAACAAAATGCCTCCATGAAAGCCACTCCATGGAGCCCTACTTTTGGGCTTCCAGAACACTATGCTTTCCTTCCTGGAGTACTTTCTACACTCCTTAACATGGAGATCACAAGTCTCAGCCCCCACTTCAGTGACCAGGCTCTAGGCAGACTGGACATGAAGAGCTCCCTGAGCTGTGGCTCTCTCTGCAATCACCACAAGGCACCTAACCAGCTTGTTCTTCCACACAAAGTAAGAAAAAATCTCAGACAGCAAGTCAAGCCAGACACCCACCAAGAGCTCTCAACTTAGGAACAAGATAATTCAGGAACAGCACTGAAAGGGACTGGGGGGGGGGGGAGGGAGGGGGGTAAAGCTCAGAAATATGAACACAGATGACAGGAGAAAAACAAAGGAGGAGGCAACAATGCTGGGTAAGAAATGTACTCATTACCTTGCTCATGTAACTGTTACCCCTTTGTACAGTATTTTCACAACAAAAAAATTATTTAAAAAAAAGAAAAAAAAAGAAATATGAACATAGAGCCCAAGTCACACACAAAATAAGATTAAGTAACCAAGAGAACCAGGACCCAGTTCCTCTAGGCTTAGAGGCAGTGCAGAACTCAACACAATGAAAATCAGGAAGGACCATTCCTGAGGGCAATCCCAGGGACAGAAAGGAGGCCAGGAAAGCTGTAGCCGCAGAAGGTCTCCTGGCTAGGGCCTCCAGCTGCCACTAAGAGAATACCTTCCCTGGGATCTAGTGGAATTTGGGAGGAAGAGCAGAGCCCTGATCTAAACCCAGTCTCTAGCTTAAGCTCTGTGAGCTTCCCAGAGCTATCAATCAAGACTGAGGCCAACAGGCAACAGGGCCTCAATAAGTACTGTTACTAGACTATAACTGTGGAACTGACCAGCTAGGAAAGCATCATAGCATGTTTCAGCCATCTGGTTTGCAGCTCTTGTGAGTCGGTAAAGCCCAGAGTCCTGATACCTTCCACTGGAAATTATGTTGCACAAAGTCTCACTAAGGCCCCACTCTAGTGGAGCGGAAGATATGAGCTCTATTTACACTTATCCAGGGGATTATAATGGATCAACCTAGAGTATGAACTGACATTTATGTTAACCTATATCAATCAGACTTTAAACTCCTTCAGTATCACCTGCATAAGGCCTGAACCATCACATTCCGTGTTATGGGCTGAGCTATACTCCCTTAAAATTCTTACGTTAACTGGGGGTGGTGGCTAATGCCTGAAATCTCAGCTACTGGGGAGACAGCAGGAGGATCACAATTTAACACTTTCCTGGGTGGGGGAGATAAAAAAAAGAGGCCCTCTCTGAAAAATACAAAAGCAAAAAAGGGGCTACAGTGGTGGTTCAAGTGGCAGAGTGTTTGCTTAGAAAGTATAAGGTCTTGAGTTTAAAATTCTAGTAAAAATAAAAAAGAAAGAAAAAAAAAGAAAAATCTCACTCTCGTTACCTAAGGGTGTACAATATTTAAAGACAGGGACTTCAAAGAAGTAACCAAAGTAATAGAGATCATTAGGATGAGCTCTAATCCAATCAGACTGAGCAGAAGTCTGAGCAGGTGAGGACGTGGGCACACAAAGGGAGATGGGTGAAGGACGCTAGGAGAACATATCATCTGACATCCAAAGTCAAGCTTCAGGAAAGGGCAACCTTGCCTGCTGGCACCTTGATTTTGATTTTATAGTCTCTACAAAGGATGAGAAAATAAACAGCTGGGTTTTTGTTGTTGTTTTTTTGTCGGTCATGGGGACTGAAATCTGGGCCTAGATGCTGCCCCTTAGTTCTTCTGCTCAAGGCTAGCACTCTACCACTTGAGCTGCAGCGCCACTGCCGGCTTTTTCTGCTTATATGCTGCTGAGGAATCAAAGCCAGAGCCTTATGCATGCGAGGCAAGCACTCTACCATTGAGCCACCTTCCCAGCCCCCAAACTGCTGTTCTTAAATCCACCTGGCTTGGGCTACCTTGTGATGGCAGATCTAAAAAACTAACATGCAGGTAAGGCTGGTCTTGGCATACAACCGTTGTCATTTTAGGACTCTGGGCCTCTAGCTGGACTCTGGGAGACGAAGACTGGTTCCTCATATCACTTCCTAACATCTGCCCTGTACTTGCCAAGTATTAATTGTGTACCTACAGTGTGGAAAATGGCAGATGTGCATACCACAGTAGCCAAAGGAGATACTGTCCCTCCTCTAGTGGAGCTTTCAGACAAATGGGAAGAAAAAGAACCATCATCAAGGAAATATAAAATATTCACCTTCAAAAGCAACTGGTGAGAGGAGTATGAGCAATCTTTTTCCTCATTCTAGTCTACAGCTTTTACCATAAACATTCAAGTCAAAACACATTTAAAAAAATCAAATCGTAAAAGTAACTATTTGCAGGAATGCTGAGGAGAAAGGCTCTCTCGTCCCTGTCACAGTTCTGTAAGCGTACAGGACAACCAGGCAGAGGACATCAGAACCTTTTCCTCAGTTTCTCTGGTGTTATCTTCCTCCATAACAAAGAACTGATAGACATGCCACAGTAAGCATTTTGGAACAGGATAATTTTTCCCTCCAAGACTGGAAACCAACACTATTTACCATGCTCCAGGAAATTGATTTTGTTAGTCTTCAACCAGAAGAGAACTTGCACAATGACAAGCACTGTCCACCAAGGAAAAATTCTCACAAAACTGTCTAGAGCTGACATTCACTTTATAGCCGGTACTTACACATACATTATAATCATGTATTTATCAAGGCTTCACGTTGGTATGGTGTTTTATTGCTAGAGATGTGTTTGCTCAAACTGTGGTGTCTTTTCATTTACTACTCTGCAAGTTAGGGTCTGTAAAATGGCAGGCGAATCCCTGCAGACATACTATGATTTATTTTCAACCTCCTGGAAGTCAGGGCGCTTTCTCTGCAGGGACTAATCCCACAGATGCCTGCCAGAGACTGCAGAGACTTCTCTGGAACATGCTCCTCTTCCCAGAGCAGCACAGCACAACTCACAGTCACATTATTAATGCACCCATGCTTTCAGGATGAAGCCAGAAATACACCAGCATTCCCCAGGCTCCAGGGTTTGGGCTGCCTACAAGGTGGGTGAGAAATGACATTTTGAGGATCTGGCAATGTCTGTAAGCACTTATTTATTCATGCTAAAAAAACATGGGGCCACTAATGCATCCATTCTCTGAGAGTCTAATGTAGAGAAGAGCTACATTAAAAGCCAACTTCTACAGCTCACCCGGCAAGAATCCTCTCCAAGCTTCCTTTCAGCATCCTTGAAGCAGGGAAAAATACAGTACCCATGACATATCATTACAGAGGAGCCCTGAAATGAAAGCAAGTGTGTAAGCTCCTGGCCCATACCTGACACATATTAGGAGATCAAGTTATGCTAATCTGTGAATGAATAAATACTCACTGCTTACTGATAAGAAAGCAAGCCAGTGGGTAATAATATTGGGTTTTTCCTCCTTTTACCTTACCTATCCTGGCTCTGATTGATGTTACAAGGACAGAATCAAGACTCAAGACCCATAGATGGGATTTTGTATGCCACACACTACTGTATATCAGTATGCATGCATGAGCAAGTGTTTTTCAGAAGAAAGAGATCACATTCAACAACCACTCAAAGAGATCCAAGACCAGAGATCCAGGTGGTGTAATCTATGTGAGTCCAGCTCAGGCTGCTCCCTCCAGAGCTGGTATAAAATAGCAATGGGATTGACAAGGTTCAAATGGGGACCTTAATATCTACTATTAACCCTAACAGTGTGAAGATGAGACCCAGGACATGTAAGTGATCCCTGTTACTGTGATCTGAACACACAGAGACAGATTCAGTGAAGCCAGTTGGATACAATGTATGCACTGAGACAGGCTCTCCTGAGGATGTCAGAGTTGTAACTGTAGTAAATCCAAGCAGGAGAAAGCCTGAATCTTGCATGCAGGCAGCACAGGGACCACAGCGGGGAAGGGGAGAAGGAAGGGAAGGGGTTCTGCACTAGCTGACGCGGCACCTACAAATGGGTATTAGAACTGACCAGTGTTCAGCCACCGCTCTCACCATGACATGGTTTTTCTCAACAGCTTTCCTCTGTTGCCTGAATAAACCAAATCTATAGGCAATTCAGGACCATTACACTTGCATCTTTTACCATCCTGTATTTGTGCAGCTGGCTTTATTACTTCTTTTGGTGTCTCTCCTTTGATAGTCCTTCATCCTCTACCCCCTACTTTCCTCAAGGCTGTCAAGCTATATTATTTACTTCACAGCCCTTAGCTATTTCTAGAAAGATTTATGTTTTCATGATTAGCTCAGGAGTAGATCACCATTCAAGTGGCACTGGGCTCAGTCCCCAGAACCAATATACAGGTGGGTTGCGGGTTTTTTCCCCCTAAATTTTCTTGCTATAAAATATTATATCCAAGAAGGCAACTCAATTTCCCGAAGAAAGTACCCATACGCAGTAGCAACACCAGGATTTTTTTTTTTAAACAAGTGAATTCCTCTCAATCTACCTCTGTTCCAGCTCTGAGCAGCTGATTTTTTTTTGTATATCTTGCCAACATCCTTAAAAATTGAAGCACCTCGTCTCCATTATCACAGTAGGATTCAGGTTCTTAGGTTTTCATACTACAAGGGGGTGAAATGGCTACAGTGTTGGCCGCCCACATTAAAGCAGTGAACATGGATTTCCATGGTAGCTCCATTAAGAAGGGGCCATAAACAGTCTCTGGGGAACATGGCCAACTCCCTAACTGTCATGTGCCGAAGAAGCAGGGATCTTTGTGACATTTCCTATTCTCTGTATATATAAACTCTGTTACTCCCAAGAACATTGTGAATTTTGTAACAACGCTTGCCTATGTCCCATGATATCTTCAAGAAGGGCTAACTCAACCTGAGACAAGAGACCACGTGGAATATGTAAAATTTTTAAATGCCTAAGAACAACAAAAGCAGAAATGCAAAACATCCGTAAGCTAGAAATCCTTTATGAGAGTGAGGAGCATGAATTCCTAAGAACACCCGAGTCTACGGGGCAACTCCAGCAACCCCTGGAAAAGAGTAGGTCCAAGTGAGAACATCACACTTGGATGTGTCCTTTGAATGAGAACCCTACAGGGTTCTCACTAGGGTACCAGTGAGTTACAGCCGCACTGAGGCCTTGCCTTCAACCCTAGGCTAGCAGGACATCTTCTACTTCTCCCAGCTTTCTAGAAAAACATTGCCAGTTCCTACAATGCCTCTGAGAGAGAAGGTTCAGCATACTCTACACTGGACCAGGAGTCAACAAAGGTTTTATGCTAAAGGTCAGACAGTAATCTTCAAAACTCTGTGTGCCACACCATCTGTGTTGCACAGATGTGTTACCATGACAAGTGGGAAAGCAACCACAGAAACTGGTAATAACTGGTGTGAGTGTGAGGTAATAAAACTTGACTGAGGTTGGAGGGACAAAGGATGAACAAATGCAGCAATATGTTGAAACTGGGAGACAGTGAGGGAAGGGGTGACATTGTCCCAAAAGAAATGTACTCATTACCTGACTTATGTAACTATAACCCCTCTGTAAATCACCACTATACTAACAATGAAGTTTTAAAAAAAAAAAAAATTACTGATGGATGGTTAAATTTAAATTTCCAAGTGCTAAAAACTTGGAAATTTATTTTTTCAGAATCATTTAAAAATGTAGAAGCCAGCATTCTCACCCTAGAGATGATCATTGAAAGTACATTTCTTTCCTCATAAACTTTCCTGTCACTTTTACTTAAAAAAAAAAAAAAGTCAAACCATTTCTAAGTTTAGGGTCTTTCAAAGAACAGACTAAGCCATATTTTGCACGCACAGCTTCCTAATCATTACCTATCATGATCCTATCACACGGTGTGAACAGGAAAGCTCTACAGACATTCCATGTTGAAACTATGGCCACTAGACTTCGCCTTCGATGACTCATCACACAGAGGATCTCAAAACATGCTTTTTAAAGTTTGTCAATTGGCCTCTAACACCACCACCAATGGCAGTTCTCAAGTGCATTCTGCAACAACCCACTCTACTAAGGAGGAGATACAGGTGCCCTAAGATCTTCAGAGCTACTGTCTACTGGCCTCTCATCATCCCCACCATTCCCCCCACCCTCCAGCTCCTAAGTATCCCAGCTGGTGTTGATTAATCTAGTCTATCTCCCAAGGACAGCTCTCCATGGCTTTTATTTGTGTCAGGGGAGGGAAAAAAAGGAAAGAAAGAAAGGAAAGTCCTCCTACTCCCAAGAGTGAGAGCTCCAGGCCAAGAAGAGGAAGAAAACAGAATTTTGGGAAGAAAATAGTCGTTTTATCTAAACAGCAGCTTCAGAAATAGCTCTGCCTACAGATATACTAAGAAGACAAGAAATACATTAGGAAAGGAAAAAGTTGTCAAGTGTGTCCTTGGGGGAGAGAAAGCATCAGGATACCTAGGTTGCACATATGAACAAACAAGCACATACATGATCGTGTCATCGCATGTAAACAGACAATATTTCTATTCTATTACAACTTGTGCAGACTCTCCTCCAAACAGAAAATTTGGTGAGAATAAGATTTAGTAGTCTAGAGAATTGAAATCTGAATGCTAGAGGGGCCAATTGATTCTTTAATAAAATTCTTAATTTCCCTAGAGCCAGACTGACTGCTTTGAAATCACACGTTTTCGTGAATGGAAGAAAAAAAATAAGAAAAGTGATTACTGAGAACCTGTCAGGTATGAGGTACTTTCACATCCATTTCCTATAGCACACTATGGAGAACCATGGTCCTCATTTACCCAGCTGAGCTCACCCAGCTCACAAACAGTGGGGCTCTTGGTTTCAAAGGCAGACTTCCAGTGTGTAAGACGTAAGAGTTTACTCATTCCATCTACTTACAGGTATGAAAATCATTATGATGTGATCGACAAGTCAGGTCATTACAGAAAACAGCTCTAAAGCTGGGCGCCGGTGGCTCACGCCTGTAATCATAGCTACTCAGAGGCTGAGATCTGAGGATTGTGGTTCAAAGCCAGCCAGGCAGGAGAGTTCGTGAGACTCTTATCTCCAATAAAAACCACTAGAAAACTGGAAGTGGTGCTGTGGCTCAAGCAGTAGAGCACTCGCCTTGAGCTGAAGAATGCATCAGGGACAGCACCCAAGCCCAGAGTTCAAGCCCCACGACCGACCAAAAAAAAAGAAAAAGAAAACAGCTCTAATAATGAGGGTCAGAAACGACACAAGACACAAAAAAACAATTATATGGGAACAAACATTCACATTGACTAGGTTGGAGATTCTATCCTACTTTGTACTTAAATATCAAGTTATCTGAGATAATAACATTGACATATACACAAAAACAGACATCCCACACATTAAAATCTAGGGAAATTAAAAGAATCCATATATAAGAAAGCATCAAGGAATGGGTGGCACCGGTGGCTCACACTTGTAATCCTAGTTACTCAGGAGGCTGATATTTGAGGATTGAGGTTTGAAAACAGACCAGGTAGAAAAGTCCATGAGACTCTTAGTTCCAATTAACCACCAAAACATTGGAAATAGAGCTGTGGTTTAAGTGGTAGAGGGCAAGTCTTGAGTAAAAAGGCTTAGGGACAGCACCCAGGCCCTGAGTTCAATCCCCAGAAAGAGAGGGGGGAGGGGAGGGAAGGAGGAAACAGAAAGAAAGGAAGGGAAGGGAGGGTGGGAGAAAAGGAGGGAGAGAGAAGGGAAGGAAGAAAAAAAAGAACAAAATCATCAAATTCTACAAAGCAAAACTGTCTTAGAAAAAAAATTGAGAACTACAAACCTACTATAGTTTTCCTTCCTATCTTTATGAACTTCTTCCTATACTCATGTGAAACTATTTTTGAATATCAGCTCATTCAGCAAAATACTGAGTGATAGGATATATTTTGAGCTTTCCCATTAGCTTTCATCTATGAAAATCATGTTGAGCTCTCCCTGACAAGTAGAATCAAAAGTTGGTCTTAAAGATTCTAGCACTTTTTCTTTTGCAATATCAAATATTTTACCACTTCTAATATGTTTTTGGGTATCTGTCTTTCTTCATCCTTACAACAGCCATAAGTGACAGGAAAGTATTATTTACCCCTCATTCCCTGCCTCCCCTTTTTTAAAAATTCTTCTTGGAAGTGTGCACAAACAGCTTCAAAGGATTCGCAAGGGAATTTTCTAACTGAAGTGACAGGAAAACGAACCCAAACTTTCTATGAAAAATTTAATGCCTGTATGAATGACCAGGTCTCTCTCATCTCAGCTCTGCTGATTTACTTCATTGTCACAT